GTCTGGGTTTTTAAGCATATGCCTCACATTATGAAAATTTCTAACAAATACATAAACATTTGCTTTCTGCCTTTTGTTTAGGTCTATGTAACAGCTCTATAGTTATTTTATTAACATCTCTAAAACTGTTAAGCAACACTAATTATAAGATTTTAAAACATTGAACAAGGACCCTTAAAAAATTATTGATCATCTACTAAGCATTGTGCTAATTCTATAACTTCCTTTTTATTTTCCTTCTAAATGCCCTGTGGTTATTTCTCTGATTAAATTGAAACTCTTGATGAGGGACTTTAAGGCTCTGATGAGCAACATATGTGCCCTCACTTGTAACCTCTGTCCAAGCCAAGCCAGTTCTTGCAAAGCTCATCATCTCTCGAGTCCAAGCTTTCTTCAGCCTGCTTGTCCTACCCAAAATCTACCAGCACTACCCTTTCCTTCACCTCCATCCTAGATCCTGTCACTCCTGGTGAATTAAAAAAAAAAATCTATATATAAATTATTACTTCTGATTACCTTTCTTATGATGAGTTCTCTCAAAACCTAGTCCAGCTTTCAGTACTTGGTGGTTGTTCAATGGGTTGTAGATGAATATCTGTGAGGGTTTGAAGGTATGCTTCAAAGGTGCAGGGAAACGTATTTTAAGGTTGTTTTTCTTTTTTTCTTACTTCAATATTCAAATCCCTGAGGTTGTCACAAACAATGTTAAATAATGATTTGATTTTCCTCTTGAGCTCTTAAAATGAGTATATTAATGACAATGGGCTCAAAATTAGTGTGTATTGCTCATTTCAAGATTTCTAATGATAACAGTGAATTAGAAGCAGGTCACTGGATTTTCCTCATTTTGTTACATGTCTACTATTAGCTAAATCTATTTCTCTGGAATACATTGGAAGTTTCTTCATTAAAAACAATCAGAAATTCAATGTATCGTCAAATTAAATTTATATATGCCTGAAATATGCAACAAATTGCTTCAGTAAAAAATGACATGCTGATTTTTTACAAATTATCTAGGAACAAATTTTATTTAGAAAAATTCCAAATAAATCTTATTTTGCAGCAAACCAGGAATCAGCTACTAAATGCTTCACAATTCTCTTTAATATTCAAAATGATGTATAGGGAAGAAACAGGACGATTTTGCATTGACCCTCACACAGCACTTCTCTTTGATTATTAGTTCAGAAATGATCTATTTAAGCTTTTGGGACTTAAGTTTAAAAACCCATGTTTATTCTTATGCCTGTGTTTATAAAACTTTGCTAAATATTTTATGTGTATCAAAGTGGAGAATGGAATATGAGTTTCAAGAGCCATTAACATATAAATCCTAACAATCAAATAGGAAATAGAACATTAATATTAAGAAAATGTTATCAAAAGTAGGAAGAAATGAGTAACTGGAAATTCAGAGGGCTTAGCATCAAAAAGTGCTGAGATTTCAAAATCAGTTATCTTGTGGGTTTATATATATATATATATATATATATATATATATATATATATATATATTTTTAATACTGACAATATATTCCATGAATAATGCAGTTGGGGTNATATATATATATATATATATATACTCTTAATACTGACAATATATTCCATGAATAATGCAGTTGGGGTGATTTTTCCTTGTGTGATTGCCAGTTCTGGAAATCAGCAAAACTGAAAAATAAGTTGAAAAACCTATCAGCCTACTGAATCTCCTAAAGCCTCTAAAACATGCAATACAATTTAGGAAGCATAATATGAGTAATAGCCAAAGTTGCTTATATTAAAATTTTTTCCATTGAGTTCATGATTGAGTCTTTAAAAAAAAAACCAGGTATGAACATATATATACATGTTCACCATATATATATATATATATATATATATATGGTTTTTTTTTTAAAGTTTTCAGCATTGTGCTTTTGAGAAACAAAAATCTTCCTGGGGGGCATGCTGATTAGTTGCATGACAAAACTGTCATTTCCGTTTTGAATGCATGTCCTGTTTTTGAACCTGCAAAAATTTGTAGTGCATACATGTGTGTCCTGTATATGGTATTTTGGTCTGATAGTGTGTTTGAGTTCTTTCTGGCTCTTTTTCTAGCAGAGTTCAATCCACAACTTTCTTCATTGGAGAATTTGTGAAATAAAAGTGAGTTAATTTGTGTTACACACTCTCTTAGATTACCTAGACCTACAAATTGCTTGGCTAAAGCTAAAAAATAGAAAATTCTAAGAAACATATGAATTGACTCTAGTTGGCCTTTAGTAAATTTAAAAAAAATTGTCATGTTTGTTTATTTTTTAACTGTTTCTGAATTATTCCATAGCTAACATTTGAAAAAATACCCACCTATAAAGGCTTTAATATGTTTTACGATATGTATATACTGTAGTATCTACTCATTCTGTGATTTTTTTATATCTATAGTGGCCATGTAATTTCCTTAAAAATATCACTACAACAAAAGATAAAAGCAAAAAATGGATTGAGTTATAGAATCTTTTAAAAATGTAATCAGTTTTGCAGCTCTGTCACAGGCCATATTTTTATGCTACTTATTTCTTTTATTGGCTTCAACAAAAGTTGAGTTGCTAATGAAGAATTTGAATTTTGTTATAATAATATTGGATAACGACACTTTCAAAAACAAATTCATATGTTTCTCAGCTGAAGTTAAGGTTATAGAGCAAAAAATAAATCTTATTTTGCTTCATCTCCTATTTTTAACATTCCCCAATCTTTCTTCTGTAACATGTCTAACAGATAGCAAAGGTAACAGTATTAATAGTGTGTCTGTTAAATTATTTTCTACTGTTTTCAGTTTTACTGAATATACCTAACCCAACCATCTGAAAAGAAAAAGAAACTTGGGAGTGAAAGCCATTGTTTAGCTTCTTGTTCTGGCTCAAGAAGCAGGGATTTTGTTTTAAAATCTAGTCATTTTGAGAGTAGCTGGATATAATAATAGAACTCAAGATACTGAGTCAGGAAAATAATGAATTGGTTCCCATAGCTGCCAAATCTTTCATATTTATACTTAGGGACATTATAGACTTTTCGTTTGTATCAGTTCCCAATCCGAATAATAGCACCACACACCCTGCTTATTAAGCCCATTTTGAGAGACAGGAAAAATACCAACCCTCTAGTTCACTTTACATGTTGAAGGCTCATTGTATGCAGTGGTTCTGAGCAAGGGGATGTGGCTTTGACCAGCAGTAAGTGAATCTGCATAATATTGAGTAGTGTTGCCCAAGATTCAATTCTTCCTCATGTTCTCAGCTTCTTTTCTATAGTATAGCATTTCTTACAGAATGGAATTTTATAAGATTTTTTTAGCTACTAGATGATTATGATACATGGGCATGAGTTAAGAGATTTTACCTTTTGATTTGTATATCCTAATCTCAGTTGATTTGACTCACAACATTGTCTCTAGGAGTTACCATTCTTTGTCAATTGTAACTGCTTTCTGAGAAACTTGAACAGTTCTTGTGTGACTCGTAGTAGGGCAGTTTTTATGAACATGGCATTCCACAGAAGTATTTGGTTTCCAGTTGCCTTTTTAGTGATGATGGAGAAAATGGTGGTGGTGGTGATGATGATGATGATGATGATGATAACAATAACTCATTTAACATCAACAACAAGCATTTATTGTATGTCTACTACATGTCCATCTCCACAACGCAGTGGTGGGTTTGTTGCTTCAAAATGTATTGGACATTAATACTTATGAAACATATAAAATATTTCTATAATTGGTAGCAGTGCTTTGCAGTTTGCTGGCTTCATTTGAGGAAAAAAATAGGGAATTTTTGTAACTTTAGGAAATCGATAGCTCTTCCATATTTTGGTCAGCATTTAACACAGAATGTAATTCGAGAAAATATAACCTGTAACACTGCAATCTACAAAAAAGAGAAATGTATTCTTAACTTTGACAATTTTATGATTGTCTCATTTTCTACTCTAGAACGTCTATGTAATTTCCTCGTCTTGGTTTAGGTCAAACGTTGCCTTCTGTATGATTTAATCTTATATTAAAATCTTTCCCTTTTTTGTATTTTTGTTACTTGTGGGTGGTTTCTGAAATTGTCTTGCTTTATAGCAAATTCTGCTGAAAGAGATATAGTTCTTCAAGGCACCAGTGCACTTCCTTGGTATACAAATATGGCAAGCATTTCTAAAAGCTATATTCTTTGCTCCAAATATTCCCTGTATTCCGCTTCATCTGCCTGAAAGATAATTATAAAGCTAAGAGCAGGTAAAGAAGTTAATCAGGAAGAGACACCTCAATGTTCATTGAGAAATTTTTAAAACTGGAGAGGAAATAAATCTTTGGATTTTTATGACTTACTTTATACAAAAGACCAGTGATCTCGGGCACTCATCACAAATCTCCATAACCTTAATTAAAACTTGTAGCCATAAATACCCCTTTCTATCACACACACACACACACACACACACACACACACACAACTAGGTTAAAGGATATGTTATGGCTAAACATTTATCAGAAAGATTTATTAATAGCCATCACAATATGCCTCATTTTCTTCTCAATTGAAAGCATTTGCAGATCCTGATATCATTAAAGATTAGCTGGAAGCAGAGACAATTCTAAGATGTCATCAAAGCGTGGTACATCCTCAACTTCTACTACCAAAAGGAACAATCGCCAATCATGAGGCTCAATGTGGTTTTTTTTTACCAGTCAATTATTAAGATATTTTGGATTTTCCATTCTATTTAAAATATGTCGTCTCATTTCTTTGTATGAAAGAATAAAACAAATGAACTCTCACCAGAAAGACTGCTTGAATGTTAAAGTTGCATCTTCTAGCTATGCATACGTGAAAAGCAATTTTTGTCTTGTATAGTTGTTGCTGGAAACTGTTTGCTCTTTAAATGTTAAGCTTCCTCTAGAAACCAATTGGCTGCCCTATTCTGTACTTGAGTGATAAGATAATGAAAATGCTTTATTTCATTTACAGACAATGCTAATGAGGAAGAGTTGGAAAAGATCAAGTAAGGTAATGCTTAGCATGTGATCTTTCAGCTTTTCTTGTTGAGAACTATCAGTCAGCTGCTTTCCCAAGTCTATCTCATACCTTCTCAAACTATACTACAGGATTTCATCCTTCTTCAGTTGTTGTTGTTTTTTCCCCCCATAAACTTTAAGCAAACCATGTGCTGCTTTTTAACTAAATAGAAATCACACTGATCAGTTGCGCCAAAATCATCCTCTTGCTAATTTCTTGTCACTTCATAGCATCATTCCCAGCATCTGATTTCTGTTAATGTACCACAGGGTCTAGAAAATGTCCTTGCTCTAGATCAGGAATAAAATGATGAGGTGAGGGTAGGGACAACTCCAGAGAGAAGGAAGAGCCATGTAATTTACTGTTTCTGTTCACTGAAAATTGACTCTAAGGTTTTCTAAAGTCAGAAATCCCTATATTGGTACATCTTTGGAGTGTATAATGACAGCAATTTTCTGTCATTGCCTCTTTTCACTTCAAGAAATAAATGGCTCTTGGGAGTGAGAGGAGTTTATGATAACTTACTAAGCCCTAGTTCTTTTAACTTGTAAAATATATAAAATGCAAACTAAGCTTCTAATTTGCTCAGTGGTGGTACCACTCTTGGACAGAAATAAATATCAAGATGAAATTGACTTTTATGTGACTATTCCTTGAAATAAATCAAAAGATTTTGTTTTTAAAAATCTTGTTTGCTCAAATTTCTATTTAAAAAGTCAGTATTCCTTTTTAACAGTGACTGATTTTTTTAGACCCTGGAACATGACTATCTTTTTTCTTCCATTCTGATTGAATCATGCTATTAAATTTTTCATTATTGTTTTTATTGTGAATTAAGAAAATACATCAAAATGTTTTTGCATTTATGTAATGTCTTAATTTGCTTTAACAAGTATTTCTTATTACACATTTCCTTCCCAATTCTTGTAGAATTAATGGCCAAAATTATAATTTGGTTCACAAAAAGGGTCAGGACAACATTAAAGTCACTTTTGTCATTTTAATAAAATCCAAAACATTTTAAGGAAAGTTTGATGAACATTTCTGAATCAGTGTTCACTGTTTTTTTTACTGACCAACATAAAGTTTCAAGAAGTCTTAAAGAAATGTTTGCACTGTTCATATTTGTATTACACTTTTTCTTTGTAATTGTACTTCAAAATTAGTGTTATATTAAAAGCATATTTTAAAAAATTCATATAATTTGGCTTTCCTCATTCTGTGTCTATATTATGATATATCTGTGTAAAAACATTGCAACCCATTAATATGTAGCAATATTCCCTCCTCCAGATGTAGAAGATGTAATGCTAGAACAGGATATTACATGGTATTGAGTATTAATTAGTGGGAATGATCCATTTTATTGTAGTATAAAAGAAAGAATAAAAAGATGCTTTAAAGAATTCATTTAATTTATATTTAAGTTTAATTTTCATGATAAATTAAGTAAGCATAAATCCACTTTGGTCTACAAAAATATATTTTTTTACAAAAATAATTTTAAATTAATAATAAACACCTATTCTTCACTATTTTTATATCTAAAATTCTTCGAGTTTTTGTTTATTATTATTTTGTGCATTCAAACTGGTACATTTTTCTAGCTTGCCATTAAAGATACAGAATTCCCTGTGTCTAAATCTGCACTCATTGGGGTACTTGACAGATTATTTTTAGTGTGTATGGTAATATGGTTTTTGGAGTTTTAGACTAAAATTTTCTTTTTCTTTTTCTTTTTTTTTTTTTTTTTTAGTTAAAGTTTATTGGGATGACAATTGTTAATAAAGTTACGTAGGTTTCAGGTGTATATTTCTGTAATACATCATCTATATATCACACGGTGTGCTCACCACCCAGGGTCAGTTCTCCTTCCATCACCATATATTTGACCCCCTTTACCCTCATCTACCACCCCACTCCCCCCACTCCCCCCTTACCCTCTGGTAACCACTAAACTATTGACTGTGTCTATCAGTTTTTGTTTCTTCATTTGTTTGTCTTGTTTCTTTGTTTGTGGGAATGCAGATTGGGATTGGTGCAGCCACTATGGAAGGCAGTGTGGAGATTCCTTAAAAAATTAAGAATAAAATTACCATGTAACCCAGCAATCCCTCTCCTGGGTATCTACCCAAAAAATCTGAAAGCATTTACCCATAAAGATATATGTGCTCCGATGTTCATTGCAGACTACAATTTTCAACTCTATAAAATTTAGTAGGGATACTGAATGCTGAGTAAAGGAAAATCAGCTCATTCATTATTTTTTTCTATGAGAACATACTGAACACTTGATATTGCATTCAAATTTTCACTGTCCCCTAAAACATTTGCCATACTTGTCCAGATTGGTGTTATAAGAACAGAAAATGAAATTCAAAATCCAGGGAAAGTTGGAAATTTCAACTCCCACCTAGTCTGCCATCCTTCACGCACACTAAAACTGCTCCCATAAACCTTTTCTCCAGGCATTAAAGAGAAAGGACGATGTTCAAGTACAGTGGTCTCCCTTTATCTGTGGTTTCACTGTCCATGGTTTCCGTTACCTCTGTTCAATCATAGTTGGAAAATATTAAATAGAAAATACCAGAAATAAACAATTCATAAGTTTAAAATTGTGTGCCATTCTGAGTAGCATGATGAGATCTTGAACCATCTCACTCCATCCCACCCAGGACTTGATTTATTCCTTTGTTCAGTGTATCCATGCTGTATACGCTCTGGCCCTTTAGTCACTTAATAGCCCTCTTGGTTATCAGATCGGATATCACACAGGGAGTGAGAGGGAGAGAGAGAGAGAAGGGAGACGGAGACCACATTCATATAACTTTATTACAGTATGTTATAATTGTTCTATTTGATTGTTATTGTTGATTTCTTACTGTACCTAACTGATATATTAAACTTTATCATAGATATGTATGTATGGGAAAAAACATAGTATATATAGGGTTTGGTACTATCCATGGTTTCCAGCATTCCTTGGGAGAACCTTGGAACATATCCCCCCCACACACACACACCCCAGCTAAGGGGAACTGCTGTAAATTGTGCTTCTTGGGAAACTAAGAGATAAGTGGTTATACCGTGCAGTTTTATGATTGTTTACTATGTTACTGCTTTGTGGAAATGCATCCCCTTTCGAATTATTTCAGCCTTTCCCTTAAAAATTATTGTGTAAGTAAGGATTTTTTCTCTTTTATTTTTGAAAAGAGAATATAATTTATTTGCATTACATTTAATTACAGGTAGTTTATATTTGGTATAACTATGCTCAAAGTCAAAGACAAGCTTTTTACATAAATACGTCGTTTTTTTCTTTGGGATCATGATCTACAGAAATGAGGGCTTTTGCTGTTTATAGCAGGGCTTTGATATGCAGCTTGTCTTTGTGCACCAATGGTGAATATAAAACCTGAGAATTATAAACTTACATATAGTCAGGTAATGTTTTTAGATATTCTCTCCAGTATGAAGTTTTTCTTCCTTTTCTTGTATTTTTTCAAAAGTGATATAACCATGAATGGGGGGAAAGCTAAATTGACATTGTTACATTTTTGTTTTTAATTAAAGTTTATTGGGGTTACAATTGTTAGTAAAGTTACATAGGTTTCAGGTGTATGATTCTATAATACCTCATCTATATATCACATTGTGTGTTCACCACCCAGAGCATGGTTATGTTTTTAATATACACATCTCCCTCTATACAAGTGAATCAGCTCATGGAATATATCATTATTTAAATACCTCTTGTCATTTTCATCATCTTGCTGATAATGGATCCTTTCAATGAAAATCTTATTATTTGTGGCACTCACATAACCTGGGATTGTATTTACTATTGAAAGTACGAAATAATAGTCAACTTGATGAAAGGGAAATTGTAATTGCTGTTCAGGACCGGCTTATATATTACTTGGAGTAAATGTATTACCATCAAATAACAAGTAGAAAAATATACACCTAAACTTACCTCTGAAAAGCAAGAATGTATGAAATATGTACTTTTAAATGGTATGTTAACCATTAAATAGTTATGAATTCCATAATATCCCTTCTGGGATTGGAATATCCTTTAAAACACACATTCTGATTTTCTATCAGCACACTTTCCGTCATGCGTATTTTTAATTCTGCCTCATGTTCAGCTGTTACAGAAAAGTGTTATTTTGAGAAGAAGGGGATCAGTGCCTCCCTAAACTTGGGCAACTGGGTAATTATCCTGGTCAAGAATTTTACTTATGTGATAAAATGAGCTTTCACATAGAAAATGGTAATACTTAGAGTTATTGCAATATTTTATTCTTTAGAAGAAGCTTATCACTGATAATGAATTCTAATGTTAAATTATTCAACAAAAAAGTCTCATGAGCTCAAAAGAGAAGATGTATATGTGTTTTGTGAATACATTTTGTGTGTGGGGGGAGTCAAACAAAAAAATGGAAAAAAATAATAAAATAATTGCCTCTATCAGACGGAAAGCAGAAATTATTTTACACTACATTGTGTGTGTATGTTGTGTGTATGTGTTTTAATGTAGAAAAATGAGTTTATCTATAGATATGATGATAATAAACTTATGTGGTTTCAATAAGTCACTTTAATTGTATGAGAAATAACCATTGTGATAATATGAAGATATACACGTTGCAATTCATATTCTCAACAATAACAGTTTAGAATTGTTTTAAGAAGAGCTCATCCTTTGAATAATATAATATAGACTGTGATGATGTCTCATTAGCATATCTTCTGTTACTTGATGGCTTATTGTTTTTTAGTAACATATCTTTTTAAAAAGATTTTATTATAATCACGTAGCATAATTTACATGAACTATAAAACACTTTATTCACTAGTTGAATGGAGCAATTTTTAATAAGACTTTTGGCAAGGATATTGTTAATTTAAACTAGAGAACACTTTCAACTCTGTAAGTCTGCAGGGCATAGTTAAACTGACACCTAGGATGACACATTAAAAATGCA